GAGAGATGGAGCAGCTGGGGACTTTAGACACAGAGAGGGAGAGGGGCTGTGTGCTGATGACCGGGGGGCAGGCTTGTAGTGTATACCCTTTGGTTTGTTGATGACGCATGGAGGGGATTGTAACCATGGCAATGAAACGATATACAATAGGATGAATGTAAATCTAATGTTCTCCCATGTAAACTATCACATAATTCACAATAAAACATTAATAAATAAATGAAGTAGCAATTTAAAATAATATAACATTTTCAGATAACTAGTATACATACCTTTAGTTAACGTGTTACTTTGGGCTTGGAGTCGAATTTTAACAACATCCAGTGGTGTCACTATTAAGATACACAAACTTCAATTAACAAGTGATACCTGTAAACTGGGTTGTACAAATAACTTAAACACTTGACTACTAACCAAAAGGTTGACAGTTCAAAAGCACCCATAGCTACCTCAAAAAATAGGCCTCATGATCTGTTTGCAAAACCCTCTGGAGCAGTTCTCCTCTGCACACATGATGTCACCATGAGTCAAATCGACGATATGTCAAGTAATAACCACCACAACTTGTAAATTGTGTAGAAATATTTACAAAAAACATTCAAAAAAATATGAACTATACATTTCCTCATGACTATAAGGTAGGTAAGATTATTTTAAAGTGATCTTGCTTGTAACATTCTATTATTTGCCCTTGAATTTTGTTTTAAAAGTACTCTGGTAGTGTAGTGGTTACAAGTTGGGCTGCTATTCTCAAGGTCGGTTTCAAAACTATCAATACTCCTACAGGAAAAAGATGAGGTTTTCTGCTCCGGTAAAAATTGGCAGCCTCAGAAACCCCATAAGGGGTAGCTATGAGTTGGAACCAACTCCACACCACATAACCACCACCACCACCACCACCACCAAGATGAAAGAATTACTTCTCATAAAAATGAAACTGGTACCTAAAATACTTCTTCAACTATAATCCCATTAGCCTTAAAATTAAGATACTAGTATTTACAAGAAAAAATGAATTCTTAGGTAAATAAATAAACCTAAGAACCCTACTGGCTAATAGAGTAAGTACCAGACTTATAACCCCACATTCAGCAGTTTAAACCCAACAACAGCTTCATGGGAGAAAGATAAGGCTTTCTGCTCCAATAAAGATTTGCAACCATAGAAACCCTAGATAAACAGTGTCACTGAGTCTGAATCAACTTGATGGCAGTGAGTTCGGTTTTAGTTTGGTAAGGTGAAAAACAGAAGCTCCAAGCCTATCTAAATATTTGAGAATAACTTTGGATTACAAATTATCAATAATCAAGCAATATTTGTTGTTGTTAAATGTTGACAATCTGTGCCTACTCCTAACAACCCTGTATAAGGTTTCTAAGGAACAGCTAGTGGGTTTGAACCATCCAGCATTTAACCATCTTGCATTTAACCATCCAGCGCTTATGCTACAGCACCACCAAGTCTCCATAGTTTTCCTACATTGTTAAATATGCCTGTACTAAATAAAAGCGACAGTTAATGTATTTTTTATAAAGCTAATCATAAATAATCTTTACAACTAGGTTTTGTTATTCCATTTGTGAATAGTATAGCCAAGGAGAGTGGTTTTATTTAGTGTGTTGTATTTCACCTAAGCAAAAAAACAAAAAAAGATGTCAAACAGAGATCTAAGAAAACTTTTCCTCCCCTGCTGAGGCAGTCAGATGAGATGATGTCTACATTCACTTTATATTCTAGAATTCTGAGTTGAAATAAGATTGTTATTGTTGTTCTTAGGTGCGATCGAGTCAGTACCAACTTATAGTGACCCTATGCACAACAGAATGAAACACTGCCCGGTCTTGGGCCAACCTCACAATTGTTGCCACACTTGAGCCCACAGATGCTGCCACTTTGCCAATCCATCTTGCTGGGGGTCTTCCTCTTTTTCTGTGACCCTCCACCTTAACAAACATGATATCCTTCTCCAGCAACTAGTTCCTCCTGACAATATGTCAGAAGTATGAGAAACCAAGTTTGGTCATCTTGGAATCTAAGGAGCACTCAGGCTGCACTTCTTCCAAAATGATCTATTGGCTTTTTTGGCAACCCATGGCACTTTCAATATTTTCCTCCAACACCATAACTCAAAAACATCAATTCTTTGACAGTCTGCCTTACTCACTGTCCAGCTTTTGCATGCATATGAGGTTATTGAAAATACCATGGCTTG